AAAGGAGAACTCGAACCAATAAAAACATCTTAATGGTTATATGCAGAACGAGTGCATAGAAAATGTAATATTTATCCAAGGAGCGAAACCTTCTTGGCTTTCTTCTGTTCAACATTAAAATGTTTTTTCTAGGATTTAAAACAAATTTTGAATACATACGTATTTTTAAAACTAAAGCAGCAGATGATACAAAAGACGAATTTACATTCGGTAAAACAGCACCATTGCTTTCAGTGTAAACAGTCATTTTGACTATAGTAATTCACCAGCAGCCGCAGATCAGGCTTTTCCAGGCTGTTATGTGGGATGTACGTGAGGAAACTTACCTGGGATCATTAGGAGTTTAAGCAGGTATCCCGCTTCAAACTTACTGCTGCATTTCAAAGACATGATCCATTGAACAGTGAATATTTGACAGTAAGTTTTAACCAGCCAGGACGCACAGCTGATTTTGCGCATTTTCTTATTCTTTCTTGCGAAGTGCCGCTGTATGACTGCCCCGCTCTTCCTATTAAAACGGCTTACTGCATCAAACGCGGTTTCGCAACTAAATATCTGCGAATTCTTTTCTATACCGACGACCCAGCACTGCAGTCACTGTAATCAACAGAGCTGTGCAGAGTTTTAATTTATGCAAATGGAAACTAAGGGAAAGTAATGGTGGAATGGTTCCAGACCGCCAGAATGAGCCCCCTGGACCCAGAGCCACAGTGCTCACTTCCTGTCATCGCTACAGGACACTGCTGAACCTGCCGGAGCAAGAACTTTGTCAGTCTGTTCATGGAGGCCCCCATGTACAGGGCTGTGTCGCAGTTACCTGACAGAGAGGGTGCAGGTGTGGGAACATGCACAGCGATCGTGCTCTCACACACGCGGTCAGCTTTCAGTGAGGGAGGGGCCGTATGTCTGGGTCAGTGGTGAGACCGTGAGCTTGATAGCAGCATGACAGAGAAACAATGCATGTGCTGTCAGAGCAGAGAAGTTAAGATGCTGAAGGAGGCTTTATCCTAAGAAAGGTCTCACTCTAGATATCATGGCGATCTGGACTGCAGAAAAGACATCATTCAGCACAGGAAATACAGAATTACCTTAGTATAGTCTCACGTCACTTTCGGTCACAGAAATACTAAACAAAGGAAGTGAGAGCCTTATATTCGAGACTGTTCTGGTGTTTCTGAACAAAGGGTCCAAAGTATAGAGGAGGAGGTCCAACCTGGAGCCAAAAGGTACAACTTTAAAAAGCATTAAACCAACAACATCGAGCTCTACTCTACCCTTTTGACAGAGTTCTCATAGTGTGACAACTTAACAACTCAAAATGACGTCCCTTCCTGTATGTGGTCATGACCAAAAAGTTTGCAGAACATTTTAGAACGAGTGAGCATCCACAGCGGTCCTTTGCAATATTCATTTTATCAGTACAGGAACGTGCCATATAAACAGGCATCAGCATGGATAAGCACTGCCTGGGAATGGCTGTGTTAAGGCTCACATGCTGGCTGGCAGGTAGGCGTGCTGAACACTTCACTGCGATAATGTGCAGCTGCGGAGAGACGGGACAGAACAGTGAGACATTTACTCAGTGCTGGATTATGATTTATTTATACAATATAAGTATATAATGTTTAAAGCAGGGTTCATTCTACGGAAATGAGGCACTTTAAAGAGGTCTACATTTTGAGGAACATGTTTTTTGAATTTGTAATGTGTAGTAATCAGCAGTGTTTCATGTTCATAAACTTGCCGTTACCAGTTAAGGTTGTGTGATTTGCTGAAGAACAGATCCGGGGTTAACAGTTAACCTGACCGGGTGGGTTAGTTCAAGACATGGCAGAGCGTGGTGAAGTTAGAGCTGTCTGGTAAATATTTACTAGGTTATAAGTGATGTTTGGGTTCAGTTATCTCCAGCTAAACCAGAACAAAGCTTCCAAAAATCAGTGGAAGAGGTTCTGAACTAAACAGACAATGAAGATTTTAGGATGCATCATATTTCTGATATTATTTGATATCAGTGAGAAGTTGTCATTGTTGACACACCACAGTGAAGAGTGTCCTCTGCACTTAACCCATACATCACATTACAAGGGGCAACTAATTCAGCACCTGGAGAGGCAGTGCTTGGGGACGGTACCATGTTCAGGGTATATCAGTGCTACTTTGCTAGTTGGGGATTCAAATCAGCCATCTTTTGATTACAAGTGCACTTCCCCAACCATTAGGACACCACTGCTCCTCATAGGGACTCCAGGAAACACCAGGCAGAAATATGCCATGTGAATGAAGAGCAGAAACCTTATTTTCTAACTCCTGTTATTCAACAGAACAGAAAAGACTATAATTATCCTATGAATTCATTTGAAACTATGAAATTCAACAAGACACTGTTGAGGAAGTTGAAGGTTTCCTGTGTATCAATCGCAGTGACATCATACAGCATATATCTATTAATGCCTTTACCACATCTAATGAACATCAGCCATATCTTGCTGTGTG